AAGACCATGACTTCAACTACGAGACGTCGTCCTGGAAGATCGACATCCGCGACCCCGTCCACGCGGTCAATGGTCTCCCGAACGAGAGCATTGGCATGTTCGTCGGCACCTACCTGCGTTCGAGTCCCCCGCCTCTACCCGTCCATTTCCACGTCCATTTTCGTCAGATTCTCATGCTATTCTACCAGTGCGTCATTAGCGAGGCCATCGACTACGGCATCAACGAGTACCTCAACTGTACTTTGCGCGACCTTCTGGCCGACCCAGACCCGCTCAATGGCCTGCTCATCTCCAGCATGTTTCAACCAACATCCGAATGGACCGGTAATCCATTTCTCTACGTGGTCGAACGCCTGCGACTTCGTCAAATTTCTATGTTCTACGAAGACTTGTGGGACAAAGGGGACACCGACCTCTACAACGCGCTCGCTGCAATCCACTCGATCCTTACGTTTCGCGTCGACGGACCTGACGCGACAGTTATTCCAGGCCTATGCAGCCTTTCACTGTCATAAACAAAGCATTCAGGAGCTCAATCTAGGAGTCAAGACAAATATATTCACAGCTTACAAAAAGGTAGATAGGAAAGTTAGACCAGTACCCGGAGTCTTCCCAGAAGAAGCTAAGGTCACAAGGAACTTTCCAGAAGACCCCCTAGATTCACTAGTCCCATTACCCACTACACCACCAGAATTTATACCTAATGGCAGACTTACTAAAGAAAGGCTTGAAGAAATCAACTTCAATGCTGATAAGTTTCTATGGCCTGAAGAGGAAAAGCTCTTTACCCATATACTACAGCTAAATCAAAATGCCTTTGTCTTTGAAGATACCCAAAGGGGATCCTTCAGAGAAGACTACTTCTCCCCCTACATTATTCCAATAGTTCCTCATGAACCCTGGGCTTTTTCCAATATTCCCATACCACCTGGAATAAGAGAGAAAGTAGTAGAATTGCTAAAAGAAAAGATAGCTGCAGGAGTGTATGAGGCTAGCCAGTCTTCATATAGATCAAGATGGTTTTGTGTAATAAAGAAAAATGGAAAGCTCAGAATTGTTCATGACTTACAACCTCTAAATGGAGTAACAATCAAGGAAGCAGGATTACCTCCAGATATGGATAGTTTCGTAGAGCCCTTTGCTGGAAGGCAATGTTATACAGCTTTAGATCTATACTGGGGATTTGATGCAAGAAAAGTTCATCCTAAAAGCAGAGATCTAACAGCCTTTATGACACCTTTGGGTCTCCTTAGGATAACTTCATTACCTACTGGATTTACCAACTCTCCAGCAGAATTTCAGGCTTGTATGGCATTTATACTTCAAGAAGAAATGCCACATAAAGCAGATATCTTTATTGATGATCTAGCAATCAAAGGACCTGCTTCAAAGTATCCTGAAAAAGACGGAAAGCCTAAACCCTTGTTAGAAAACCCAAAAATCCGCCAATTTATTTGGGATCATGCAAATGACGTTCACCGCATTATTCACAGAGTTGCTCATGCAGGAGGTACCTTTTCACCAACTAAGGTACAATTAGCAAGACAAGAAGCAGTGATACTAGGACATAAATGTACCCCAGAAGGAAGATTACCTGATGATCAGCGTATAGACAAAATATTAAAGTGGCCCCCACTTACTACTGTCAAAGAAGTGAGAGGCTTTCTTGGACTATGTGGAACAGTTAGAATTTGGATACCTGGCTATTCACAAATTGCCAGACCTCTAACAGAGTTGGTCAGAAATTCAACAGAATTCATTTGGAATAAGAGAAGAGAAAAAGCCTTTCAACAACTAAAGGAAATAATCACTTCACCTCCAGCACTAAATCCAATCAACTATGAATCTGACAATCCTGTAGTATTGTCAGTAGACTCAAGCATAATTGCAGTAGGCTTTATTCTTTCACAACTAGATGACAAGGGAAGAAAGAGACCATCTCGCTATGGGTCCTTACCTATGAATGAAAGAGAATCCAGATACTCTCAACCCAAACTAGAATTGTATGGATTATTCAGAGCATTACGAGCATACCGTCTATATATCATAGGAGCCAAAAAGTTGAGAGTAGAAGTTGATGCCAAGTATATAAAAGGCATGCTAAATGAACCAGACCTTCAACCAAATGCCACTATTAATCGCTGGATTCAAGGAATCTTACTCTTTGACTTTGAATTAGTACATGTACCAGCTGATAAGCATCGAGGACCTGATGCCCTTTCACGCAGAGGATTAGGAGAAGGAGAAGAAATAATTTCTGAAAATGATTCCTGGCTGGATGAAATAGCTCTATATGTGGGATGTCCTGTTAAAGCAAAAGTTCACCCAGAATTAGGAACTTCAGATATTATAGCAGTATATCTCACTGCCCCCAACAAACAAGACCAAGTTCTGAAAAATATTTATCACCTACTCACTACCCTAAAACCACCATACTTTGCAACTGAATCAGAAAAGCGTCGATTCATTCAGAAGGCTCTAAAGTTCTTTGTCAAGGATCAAAAGCTATACAAGAGAAATGGAGACAAGCCTCCTTTACGAGCTATAATAGATCCTGAAACAAGAATTAGAATACTAGAAGAGGCTCATGAAGGAGCAGGACATAGAGGAATAGAAGCTGTGCTTACAATGTTGAAACATCGCTTTTATTGGCCTCACATGTGGAAGGATGCCAAGGAGCATGTCAATTCATGCCATCAATGTCAGATCATGAGTAACTTCAAAGCAAAAATTCCTCTCACTATATCAGCACCTGTCACAATCTTCAGCAGAATTTGCATTGATGTCATGTACATGCCTGGAATGCAAAAAACTCAATCACCTAGATACCTGGTAATTGCAAGAGATGATTTATCAGGAGCATCAGAAGGAAGGGCCTTAGAAGAGGCAACTTCAGAAGAACTTGCCCTATTCTTTTGGGAAGAAATCTTCTGTAGATATGGAGCAGTCTATCAAGTAACTACAGACAATGGACCAGAAGTAAAGGGAGCCTTTGAAAAGCTCATGAAAAAGTACCTTATTCCCCAAATCAAAATTTCTCCCTATAATTCCAGAGCTAATGGAGCAGTAGAAAGAGGACACCAAAATATTCGTACTGCAATTATTAAGGCATGTGGCCAAAAGAAAGGAGCCTTGAAGAATTGGGCAGATCATGTACCCTTCGCACTCTTTGCAGACAGGATAACAGCCAGAAGATCTTTGGGAGGACTATCTCCTTACCGGCTTTTGTTTGGAGTGGAACCTTTACTTCCCTTTGACCTAGTAGAAGCCTCCTTTATGATTGATAGCTATAAGTCAGGAATGACTACAGCGGAATTACTGGCTGCAAGAATACAACAGCTAGAAAAGAGGCCTGAAGATATAGCTCAAGCAGCATCCACACTAGAAAAGCATCGCCTTCAATCAAAAGAGCAGTTTGAGAAGCGATTTGCAGTACGCCTATGTAAGGAAAATTATTCACCAGGAACTCTTGTCCTGGTACGTAACACTGCAATAGAAAAGAGCCTCAATAGGAAAATGTCCCCTAAATATGATGGACCCTACCAAGTTATACGACAAAGGCAAGGAGGTTCCTATCTCTTAGCTGAACTGGATGGGACCCCTCGTAAGCAGGCTATTGCAGCCTTTCGCATAGTACCTTACATTTCTAGGAGCAATGTGCGGCTGAAGCAATTGGAAGCATAAAAACCAATATTATGCGGCATTACAGGTACTCATAGGATCAACTCCCAAACTACTCCTCTTCGACCTCGTTGAAACCAGTCAGACGATCACAGATGCAAAGCCTGTAACGGCCACAGTCTGTGCAAAAGCCTATAGCATCCCACTCTCGCACAGCCTCAGACAGCGGCTCAATAACTGTCTTACTGAGACGGCACAAGTCATCTGCATTCTAAGTCAGCACCCCCCCCTTACAACTAATAAATTTGTCTTACCATTCTCAAGACCGACAAGGCAGGCAAGGCACCCACATTGAAGGAAGCGTGCTTTCTCAGGAAAAGTGAGAAAGGAGTGCAGCCATGGTGCGGGAAACATGCAGCATGCGGGATCTAAAAATTCAGTCAGAAGAAAGAAAGATAAAAATCACTAACAGGTAAACATACCAAACAGAGGAAGCATCACAAGACTCATGCGAGGAGTGATGGTGAGAATACGTTCCACAATAGAACTATCCAGCATGTCATACGAGACACGCAGGAGGAGGTGGCGGATATCTGACTCTTTAGGACTCAAGCAAACACGAATGCCTAGCCAGGCAATGCGACGTGTAGCATCCCATCCTCTCAAATCCTCCACCAACCCAGAAACCCCTGTAACCCACGGCATTCTGTGATGAAAAAGAGAAACGATTTGGCCTCCAGATAACAAACGACCAGTGGAAGAAACCAAGCAAGTCTCTAAGGAATCAAAAAAGCCTCGAGGAGTAAGAGGAATGAGACCAGTAAAA